CCAAGACCAAAGAGCTCTCCAAGGATATCAGGGACAAGATTGTAGACCTACACAAGGCTGGAATGGGCTACAAGAACATCGCCAAGCAGCTTGGTGAGAAGGTGACAACAGTTGGTGCGATTATTCACAAATGGAAGAAACACAAAATAACTGTCAATCTCCCTCGGCCTGGGGCTCCATGCAAGATCTCACCTCGTGGAGTTGCAATGATCATGAGAACGGTGAGGAATCAGCCCAGAACTACACAGCAGGATCTTGTCAATGATCTCAAGGCAGCTGGGACCATAGTCACCAAAAAAACAATTGGTAACACACTACGCCTTGAAGGACTGAAATCCTGCAGTGCCCACAAGGTCCCCCTGCTCAAGAAAGCACATATACAGGGCCGTCTGAAGTTTGCCAATGAACATCTGAATGATTCAGAGGAGAACTGGGTGAAAGTGTTGTGGTCAGATGAGACCAAAATCGAGCTCTTTGGCATCAACTCAACTCACCGTGTTTGGAGGAGGAGGAATGCTGCCTATGACCCCAAGAACACCATCCCCACCGTCAAACATGGAGGTGGAAACATTATGCTTTGGAGGTGTTTTTCTGCTAAGGGGACAGGACAACTTCACCGCATCAAAGGGACGATGGACGGGGCCATGTACCGTCAAATCTTGGGTGAGAAACTCCTTCCCTCAGCCAGGGCATTGAACATGGGTCGTGGATGGGTATTCCAGCATGACAATGACCCAAAACACACAGCCAAGGCAACAAAGGAGTGGCTCAAGAAGAAGTACACTAAGGTCCTGGAGTGGCCTAGCCAGTCTCCAGACCTTAATCCCATAGAAAATATGTGGAGGGAGCTGAAGGTTCGAGTTGCCAAACGTCAGCCTCGAAACCTTAATGACTTGGAGAAGATCTGCAAAGAGGAGTGGAACAAAATCCCTCCTGAGATGTGTGCAAACCTGGTGGCCAACTACAAGAAACGTCTGACCTCTGTGATTGCCAACAAGGGTTTTGCCACCAAGTACTAAGTCATGTTTTTGCAGAGGGGTCAAATACTTATTTCCCTCATTTAAATGCAAATCAATTTATAACATTTTTGACATTTTTCTGGATTTATTTGTTGTTATTCTGTCTCTCACTGTTCAAATAAACCTACCATTAAAATTATAGACTGATCATGTCTTTGTCAGTGGGCAAACGTACAAAATCAGCAGGGGATCAAATACTTTTTTCCCTCACGGTATATATATATATATATATATATACACTATTCTTTAATTTTTTAGGAACTGCAATTTCGAAAGTTGCTTGTGCATCAGCAGTTTGTCTCTTGTTATATCAGTCACTGACAGTCACTCAATTAGCCATGTCAGCTAACAATTTTTAGACTGGTAGTTAGTCTAGCCAGCCATCTAAACTTGTATTAATCATGGCCAAATCCTGACCAGGGATGCAGGGCACGTGCCCTGGCTCCAGGGGTCCCCCATTGGTTTTGTTAGTCATTTCCACTCAGATATCATATTAACATGGCATAAGTCATTCCAAAATGGGTAGGATTGCAGGAAATGAGCTGTAACTGAAATGTGTACAATTACACAAGGCCATTTTTTTTACAGAAAAATGGCCACATTTTCTCTACGCCCCATGGCAAAATTTGTAGAATTGCAGGAAATTAAAAAATCTCACTTAGAGCCCACAAAAGGCTAGGTCCGACCCTTCCAGTGTTGCCAACTTAGCAACTTTGTCGCTATATGTAACGAGTATTCATACCCCTCTAGCGACACATGTTCAAAAAAATCGACTAGCGACAAATCTAGCGACTTTTTCTGGTGTTATTGGAGACTTGGAGACTCTGACGTGAAAGCACGTATCGTTCTTACTCTTCTCAACGATCAGCGGGTGCTGCCGTGGGCCCCACCCCTGTCCCAAAGCACTCACAGGTGGCCCAGTCCTCGCGCAGCAGTCCCTCCCAGCTGCAGTCAGAGCAGGTGATGTTCACCCATCCGCGTCCAGACTGCAAATGAATCGCGCATGCGGAAAGCCGCTCCTGGCTGATCCCGCCCTGGCTTACATTCAGGGCGGGATGTAAATGTAAAATGTTCTTTGTCTAAAATAAATCACTGCACAAAAATAAATCACTGCATTTCACTCACACAGCCTCAGTCACTTACTCACCTCGTCCACTGTGTGTGTGCCTCTCTGTGACATAAGCTAAACATCTAGCTGGCTAGCTCATCATGTCTCAGTCTAAACTGTACACTCAAAAATACAGAAAGGAGTGGGAATCAAACCCTGAATTCAAAGGCTGGTTGAAGCCGTTTATTGGAGATGATACACAGGCATACTGCCTGTATTGTAAGGCTGATTTCTACGCCAAACTTAGTGATGTAAAAAAACACATGACAACTCAAAAACATACTCAAAAGGCAAAGCCTTATAACAGTTCCACCCAAAACAAGCTGCCATTTATGGTTTAAAAAATGTACTCTGCAAAAAAGGCTGAGGCCACCATGGCATTAGCTATCGCTGAACACTGTTCCATGCTGGCATGTGATCACATTGGAGAAGCATGTAGAGCTGCTTTCTCAGACTCCACTGCTGCTACCCACTTCAAAATGCACAGGACAAAGTGCACAGAAATGATTAATGGTGTTCTAGCGCCATACTTTCTGAAAAAGTTGGTCGCAGATGTGGGTGACCAACGTTTCAGCCTCCTCCTCGATGAGTCCACGGATGTAAGTGTTTCTAAGTACCTGGGGGTTGTGATAAGGTACTTTAGTGACACCAAGCAGACAATTGTATCAACATTTCTGGGGCATGTTGAGTTGGAGGGAGGCGATGCCAAATCTATAGCCCGTGCTGTTGTGGCTTTCCTTAGAACTGTTTTTCAGTGTCTCCAAAGCGCAGGGAGGCCTACAAGGCCATATATGAGACCATCAACTGTGGGGAGAAACCTTTACAGATAACCAAGGTGTGTGCCACATGTTGGCTCTCCATTGAACCCACGGTTTCATGCATTTTGGACCAGTGGGAGGAGCTTAGGCTGCATTTCGCAGTCACCAAGTCCAATGAACACTGCTACATGGCTGAGGTTTTATACTCCATGTACAGTGATCCTCAAAACATATTGTAACTGACTTTTTTGAAGTCAGTGCTGGGTGAGGTACAGTTGGCCATCAAGGCTTTTGAGGGAGAGCAAGTAGATCCTCTTAAGCTACTTGACAGCTTGGTTAGCCTGATCAAGTCTGTGAGCAGCAGGGTGCTGAATCCACTGGCAAATGTTGATGTACTCAAAGGGCCAATAGATGGATACATCAGTCCCAAACCGTACCTTGGTTACCTTTTTGAGTCAAAGGCAGCTGAGCTCCACCTTGCACAAAACAATGTCCGAAAGCGATGTGTAGCCTTCACCATCTCACTCAATAATGAGTTGAGGGTGAGACTGCCGGACAACATCGAAGCATTGCAGTACATGTCAGTTTTCAATGTGGAGGAAACTCTAAAGCACAATAAGAGCCCTGAAGCAATAGAAAAAATTACCAAGCTCCTTGGCTACTCCCCTGCAGAGATAGACAAGATTGTCCAGCAGTGGCGTGCCATCCATCTTAGTAAATGGAATGAGACAAAAAACACACTGGGCTTCTGGAGTGAGATTTGGAAGTTCAAGGATGCAGCTGATATCAACCCGTTTCAAGAACTTGCCATGGCTGCTGTGTCTGTGTTGTCCTTGCCACACTCGAATGCTGAAGTCGAGAGATTATTCAGCCAGATGAGTGTGGTAAAAAGCAAACGTAGAAATCGGATGTCCTTGCAGACCCTTAACTCCATCCTGTACATTCGATATGGACTGAAGCTGTCTGATGAGGCTTGCTATGAGCACCAGCTGCCTGATAATGTTTTGCAGCTTTTTGGCACATCAGCTGCTTACTCATTTAAGTCATCTCCCTCAGTTGCTGAACCTGCCATAGAGAGCCTTGACCAAAATGACGATGACCCACTCTTTCTGTGAGCCAGCACAGCCTGTGTGTGTGTGTGTGGAGGGGGGTCAAAAAAAAAATAATAATAATGGATTAGGGCCAGACTAGTTACCATCATTTTCTCACATTGCCATTGACCGTTTTTTCTATTGTCTCTTTTTAGTCCATTTAGATTGTTAATTGTATACAAAAAAATGTTTAAAATGTTATGGTTAAAAATGTTAATGTTTTACTGTGACTTGTTGTAGGCTCCTAAGTGGACCATAAGGTTAAAAACCAAACCAAACTTAAGAAAACTAAACAAAAAAATATAAAAAAATATAAAAAATTAAAAACTAAGTAACTCCGCCAGAGTGTCTCTTTTGGGTCACTTTTGCCAGTCCCAAGCCCGGATAAAGGAGGAGGTTTGGAATTGTGACATAAAAAAAAACAAGAATCGACAGAAGAAAGTTCATTTGTAGTTCTAAACATATTTAGGGTGTTTTTTATTCACTTTTTGTCTCTCCCACGAGGTTATTCCCCTCTCCTACAGCTTCCATCACAATTACATGCACATTGCCAATTATGCAAATTAGGTGATTACGTCATTTAGCGACTTCTAGCGACTTTTAGGACAGCCAATAGCTACTTTCCTTACTGAGGAGTTGGCAACACTGCCGACCCTTCATATGGGTCTCGAACCTGTGCAATTTGCTAACCACTTTTCCTGTTAAGGAGATTGTAACGAGCCCATAGGTATGCATGGGTTGTTACAGTATTGTCTGAAATACAGAGGTCCACAAATCATGAAAGATATTGCTTTACTGCAGCAATATGCTATAGACACTCACCCTGTCTATTCCTCAATTTATCTCACAATATAGTTTCGAGAAGAATATTACACAAATCACATAAGGACTATAATCCAATGCATTGCAAAACCGTGAGGACATTCTCCAGACAACTCTGAAGTGTACGACACACGTCCCATTTTTTTATTTTATGCTTCCGCCCCTTTAACTATAAATTGCCAGTGAGCCCATTGTGCGGAGGGATCTGATACGGACTACACCCAGGCGCTGCATGATTACATGGGCTTTCTTTCCTGCCCGAGCCAAGACGTGTGTCAACGTCGAAGTGGGGGTAGCTAGAATTGGAGACACTAAATTGACCCGTAAGCAGTGCAACATTGGCTGTAAAGGTCTTATCCTAGAAACTACATTTCTGAGTGCATAGGGAGCTGTATATTTTAACTTTCAAAAATGTCTTGGCAAAGCTACGTGGATAACCTGATGGCCGACGGCAGCTGTCAGGATTCCGCCATTGTTGGGTATACGGACGCCAAATACGTTTGGGCAGCACATGCCGGTGGTACTTTTAACAACATAACGGTAAGAAATGAAAGGGAAACTATTTTTTAATGAATGCCACTATGTGGATCTTTGTATGAATAAGAATGAATGCTGCCTGTGATAATCACAACCTCGCCGGACCTAGCTTAAGGAAAGGGTTAACTTGCTACCTAGTGTTAGCCAGTTAACTAGCAGCCAGCTACCGTAAGCTAGCTAGCTTCACCGCCTATCCCCGTTTGGCCAGCAAAATCGTTGTTAGCAAGCTAGTATGCTATTGCTAACGTGAAATTGGTACACTACGACTTGTTCGCCAATAATATCAAACTCAAACTAATGTGAATTTAACCAGGCAACTACTCGAATGCCAATTATGCAACACTTGCTGGCTGCTAACAATGTTAGCTAGAGTTATGTACTAGCAGTCTGATTAGCCTAACTGGCTAAATGTCATGCTGGAACTTGCTTACCAACGTTAGACACAATGAATGAGTGTCGTGGTCTGAAGCTAGCTAGCTAACGTCAGCCATATATTTTTCGACTCACTACGAGGCTAACTTAGCCATTAGCCAACTAACGTTTGTTGGCTAGCTATGTGAATTGGAAAGTCAACACTTGTCTTGCCAACGTTTGCTAGCGTCCTCAACTGTTTATTCTATACGGGTATGCTAGCTAACGTTAGTTGCTAACTAGTAGTTAAGTTATTGTGGCTAGTAGCCAAGTTGGCTACCTAATGTTTCAAATTGGAGACGCTAGCCAATGATTGTGCATATATTCCGACATTTTATGTTAGCTATCTAGCTAGTTGGATAAGTAAATGTGGTTGGTAGGTAGATATTAGCTTATGTTAGCTAGCTGAAGAAAGAACGCTTTAACGTTTTGCTCAAGTCAGGACCTAGCTTGGCTTGTTGCTGCCCAAGATGGCTGCTCCCCATGTCTTCCACAATGGGTAAGCTTGCTAACTACCTAGATTAGTTTGCAACTAGCTATTGCATTTTGAATTTAGACTCGCTATGCTAAGTGCTGTACTACTTGCACATTATTCCCCAGGTATAATCAAACCAACTGGTAATTGTAACTCCAATTTGTAAGTCGCTCTGGATAAGAGCATCTGCTAAATGACGTAAATGTAATTCGGCATGTGTTCAAAACAGTGGAGGCTCCTCAGAGGAAGGGAAGGACCATCCTCGGTGAATTTCTAAAAAATAGTAAAACATTGAAGTTATCATTTTTAGCTAAAACTATAAATATATCCACATGTCACCATAATTGAATAAAACACACTGTAGGGTAGCACCATGGTGTAGCTGGAGGACAGCTAGCTTCTGTCCTCCTCTGGGTACATTGACTTAATACAAAACCTAGGAGGCTCATGGTTCTCACCCCCTTCCATAGACTTACACAGTAATTATGACAACTTCCGAAGGACGTCCTCCAACCTATCAGAGCGCTTGCAGCATGAACTGATATGTTGTCCACCCAATCAAAGGATCAGATAATGAATGTAGTACTGAAAGTGTAAGCTACAGCTAGCACTGCACAGTGCATAAAATATGGTGAGTAGTTGAATTAAAGGAGGAGAAAGACAATAGTTGAACAGTTTTTAACCAATTAATTTCTTAAATGAAGAGGGTTGTATTTTGTATTTATTTTTTTCACTTACACTTAGCTAGCCAATGCAGCAAGCTAGTTTAGCCTACTCAAACATAGGGATGCTATGTTAGCTAGCTGGCTATGACTATCCAACACAATGCTGGAACTCTTCCAAGTCAAGGTAAGCTTTTGGTTTTACGAATGTATTGCCACCGGGCCCTGCTGGTGTAACTGCTAAACTGCTTACTGACTGCATACTGTAACGTTACTGCATTATTGTAGTTGGTTTACTAACACGTTACTTCTATTAGCTATGTTGACATTGACGTTACTTTAGCTAATATGGTGACAACGTAGGCTGTGTGTAGTGGTTATATGGTTTGCCTTGGAAAGTTTTTTTTTTCCGCCTGGTCACATACAGCTCATGTGTTGTGCATTTGAAGTCCACAAGCAAAGGTGAAAGGGGAGCACATATATTTAAGAAGGAATACAACGTGGCTGCTATGAAAGTGAACTGTGATCAAGGGTGTAGTCATAAATGGAAGCAAACAAAACTGAGATAAATATACTGGAACTGTTGGACTAATGATTGCACCCTAGATTAACTAGATGCAGGCAAGAGTGTGGAAGGCAGTATTTAACCTGTGTGCAGCTTCGTTATAAACTTTCATTCATAGGCTAGGTTGTAGCAACCTCATGATGGGTGTAGGGAAAACTCGAGTATCATGTAGTAGCCTAAACCTATCGATGTTACATTGAACTGGGTGAATGGAATATGACTGACAGTCCTACAATATGCTGTAATAGAAATATGGACATGCCCATGAGAGAGAATTATTCCTCCCTCATCTTAAACGGCACTGACCACCACTGGTTCAAAAGTACCATTCATACTCCCCTTCAAACTTGATAAATTAACAAGCAATATCGGCAAACATGAACACGCCTGTGATTTACCACAGCTGTGTGTGATGTCAGGGTGGTTTAGAATTGTACAAAAAAGAACTATTGCATGCTCTATTTATTTATTCATTAAAAAAAATCCCCCTTCCAGTGGTGCCACACCCACCAATATGAGCACGCTTTGACAAAGACAGATTGAGGTTGAAAAGCATCAGCTTTCTTACATTATTAAAAGATCACTTGTGCATTAGAATACTTCTGTTGTGCTCTTTTTCGGGAGATGCCATCACCCTTTGTTGAAATATGACTTAAATCCATATGAGCACCCCATTCAATTGAAGCCTTTAGTAGCGCCAGCATTTCTAAACTTACCATGTCCACTTTTGAGTCTGCATTAACTTTCTATATGTACTTCCACTGTTTTTCAGCCTCAAGAAATTGATGTCCTCATTGGAAAGGACAGGACTAACTTCTTCACCAACGGCATGGCCTTGGGTTCAAAGAAGTGCTCGGTCATCAGAGACAGCCTCCATAGTGAAGGGGACTGGACAATGGACATCAGGACAAAGAGTCAAGGAGGAGAGCCAACATACAACATTACTGTAGGCAAAGCTGGCAAAGGTAAAGGGGGACCACTTTTTATAGTGGTAAACAAAATATTTTAGTGATTGCAACATTGTAGGATGTATCTAGGGCTATAACATACTCAAGTTGTCTTTAGTCAATGCAAGCAGATTGTTGGTGATTATTTATTCTCTAATGCACTCTGTTCCCATATTAGTATATGCAGTTTTTTTGTTGAAAAACAATACAGCAGAATATATTATTGTTAGTCTGAGCATGTAAAATTGCAGAGGAAAATTTGCATTTGTTCCATCAATTTAGACAATGGGTACAATTGTAAAGTATGACATTGCTGTGGCTTTCAGATGGAAATCTGAGAACTGTTACATTTCCTCACTGGTCGGATGTCCATTGAGGAAAAGTTGATGTTACTTCCTCGGATCCATACTTTGTATGAGAGAAATGCTAGTTGTGAATTAGGCTTCATTCTATTTAGTGTATTGAATTGAGATAAGAAATGGCATGAGAAAATAAACAAGAAGCCAAGGTTTACCTACTAAGTCAATCTGCTTTTGTGGTCCTTAAGGCTCGTGCACATCGCACCGAATGTGAATCTAACGTTCGTATGCCGAACGTTGAGTGCGCTGTTTTTTATGGACCACCTGCTGTAGATGTCTGACTGCTGACATTTTTCACAGATTCTACATGTAAAATCGGTGCGCACTCAGCTCACAAATTACTTTGAGGCGCTAAGTACTCTTGGCCTGCTATTGGTGTGTCTGAGCCCTTACTCTGACCGTCTGTCCTCACCTGAGTCTAATCAACAACTCTGATGGTCTTTACCTTTCATGATTATTTTCTTAAGCTGTACCTTAACTATTGTGTGGTTGTCAACCTCACTAACATTTTAGCTGCATGCTTTGGGTAGTCTAACGCCTACATTATTCCTAGCCCTCTTGTCTCCTTGGACAGTAGCCTACAATGTCTCTTCACATTTTGGCACACTAGACTTGTATGCAAGCAATATGGGTCTGTAGCCTAAATTTGGATAAACTAGCAGTCCATGGACTTCCATTTTCAAGTCTGTCTGTCACGTTTCATATGCTACGTGCATATATAATATTCTGGCTCATGTTTTTGGGTAAGACGTTGGCAAGTATTATGAAGAGAAATGGTAGGTGGCTGTCCAATCTCCCTGTGACACTTTGCCTCTAACGTCACTAATAACCCTGACTCAGATGCCAGTGAAGAAGTGGCTCTAAAAACATACCACACACATCCCTCACCCATTTCTCTTCAGATGGAAGGTCCCATATATATGCATGTAGTAAATCAGCTGGTCTGTGGAGTGGTTTTGATGACCCCTGCTAAAAGTAGCCTAATAAACTAGAGATTATATGAGCCTGGCCTGAGCCTCACTTTGCATGCACTCCTAAGGGGCAGAAATATTTTTGACATACCTTTTTTTATTTTTTGTCAATTTTGCTTTTACCTGGTGTCTGTACAGTTGAACAGCTTCTAAAACATTTAACGTCAACATTTGCAAGTGCGCATTGAACTTGTATGCAAGTATTCAGTGGACTTGTGAAGGATAGGCTATTCTCTGAAGTTACTGTCTACTTGATTTAATGTAAGGCTTCAGAGCTTATAGTAAACACTTATTTACTCCTACAAAAAGGATAAATCATACCATAATAGTTGGCTGTAGTATTGTAGGTGTTTTGACCACTGACAGAGGTTTTATGGGTATTTTCCTCCATGCATGCTCTTCCTTGTAACACATGCGAAACAAGTAGCCATAACTTTAACTTCAATAATGCCAACTGTACACTTCCATATAATGACTTACCTTTTCTTCTCTTGACTGCCTTTCCTTAATCCTCTTTCACCTCTAAACTTTCCCTTTTCCTTTCTTCTCTTTCAGTCTTGGTTCTTGTAATGGGCAAAGAAGGGGTCCACGGAGGCGGATTGAATAAGAAGGCATACTCAATGGCAAAATACTTGAGGGATTCAGGGTTCTAGTGTCACCAAGCTTGCTTAGTTAAAATTGAGGGACAAAAGGAAGAGAATAAATATTGCTGTTAAGATTTCTCCTGCAAGCAGTCAAATGTCGTGGAAACTTTGATAGCAATGAAGAGTAGTGGTGGTAACATCCTATGTCACCTTTATCCCCACTCTTAGTGGGGAAAAATACTATTTACAATTTTGTTCGTTTTTCCTTTTGTTTCCTTGTGTGCTCCAGCATTGGTTTTAGTCATGGGAAAGGAAGGGGTCCATGGCGGACAGCTCAACAAGAAAGCATTTACCATGGCTGAGTACCTGAGGAAGTCTGGATATTGAAGCAGCCTCTACCCATCCATCTTACTCACCTCCATTGTGTTGACAGTACTTTGAGGATTAGTTAGCAGACACATTGTTACTCTTCCCCCAGTTCTATTTTTCTGTACACCCTTTATTAGTTTTATTTTTTATGTTAATTCATGTTTTTTTCTCCCATCTCCTCCCCATACTTTTCTCAGAGTGTTAACACTATGTACTGTTTCTGACACTAGAGTAAGAAGAGCGTGTTCATCAGAAATGGTTAATCTATATTTACCAAAATAAATGAGAATTGTAATTAAATTGTATACCAAATTTGGACTTGGCTTGTATAAACAAATACGTAGCAATTGGAAAATGACAAGAGGAAGCACACCTTAAATGGCTGCGTCATTCGATGGTGCAGATAGTTTTGCATATGACAATGCATTTTGAAGAGATGACCGTCTGGTGTAGTCTTCCTTTCCTCAGCATGTCAGGGTTTGAAAGTTGCATGCATATCTTTTAGTATACAGAGCTTCTCTTTCCTTGCCCTTCCCAAACCTTTATATTCCATCCAGAAATGTTATTTTCATTCAGACCTCTGTTTTCTTGCTTTGTCATTTGATACATGCATCATTAAGGTAAATATTTTCTCCAGCAAAATCCTCTATACATACACTTCTTGAAACCCCTCCAGCTGAGTCATCCCACCTTTTTATTTTTTAGGTTGCATTATCTTCCACCAAATGCTTTTGCTGTTGTATCTTCAATGTGGTGTTGGAATATTGTTTGAGTGTAATGGCAGATAAGATCAGCATTGCTGAGGTTTTTTTTTTATTCCTCCCATGAACCTTCAATACGTCTTGAAGTCCCCATGGACATTCCATCTTTGCAATAGCTCAGGCACATATCTATGATCTACCAGCTCCTGCAATTTTTCACGCTGCTGACATTGCGCAGTGTATCGTCCCTACAAACCATGTTTTGGCAAGTTCTTTTTCATAGGACCAAATAGGGTGTTAGGGTGATTTTCAGAATAGCTTCAAACCATTGTGAAAGATGATTGTTGGCCTCATTTGTTTGACTAAGTCAGTAGACACTACTTCAGATGGCTGTAAAACACTTACTGCTTCTTTAGATTACTTTGAAACGAATTGATTTACTGCTAGTTTGTCGTTAACAGATGAAATCGCAGTCTCATTTGACAACTGGTAACAAGAGTATTCTAAGTGAATGACTAAACCCAAGCTCTGCTGTCAACAAACTCTTTGAATGAATTGCCTTGTGCTCTACTCATCAAAGATGTATCAGCAACTGTCAGTGCAGTACCTAACAGTATATTAAAAACAATTGAAAGTGTTTACACTAAATTGATGGAAAATGGTGTTGGTTGGAATAAAAACACTAATGAGTTGTCTTGTGAAAACTTTCTAAGAAAACGATCCTGTGCCATAACATAGATCTGATCTGTTGCTGCTGCTGAGGTTAGATTTCTGACTTCTGCCCCAGCAGGGACCATGGCACTTTTCCTTCGGTAAAGGCTTTGTGGAATATGTACAGAACTAAAACTAATTACTCACTGATTTGTGCTTTTCTTTCCCTTATGCATTTGGATTCAGTCAAAAAAATGTAATATGCATTTTCAAAAATGTTTTGGGGAAAATGCCATAAATTGATAAATCACCTTGTTTACAGACAGATCAAATAAAAGTTATTCCAACCAGAACTGTAAACGTGTTCTTGCTTTATTACCTGAATTCTGTTGGTGTTGGATTAAAACTGATCTTTATGGTAAAAGTGCTGCAATAGAGATGTGGGGAAACATGCAGGACACCTTACAATATATCCTGCATTTACACAGGCAGCCCTATTCTGATCTTATTCCACTAATTGGTATTTTGACCAGATAAGCTATTTTGCCAATAATTGGGCAAGCGATCAGAATTGGGTTGCCTGTGTAAACACAGCCTGAGAGGATTTTTATCTGTGAAAGCAATATTGGTTATGGCTGTCACGCAGGCTGCGTTTACACAGGCAGCCTAATTCTGAATTTTATTTCCACAAATTGGTCTTTACCAACAAACAAAAAATTCACATCCGGATATGTTTCAGAGCTGAGGGGTATATTGTGATTGAAGCTAAATCTACTTGGGGTTTTCTAAAGCTAGCCAACTTCAGTCAGTTTCACATTCCAGCTCAGGGTTTATCTGCACTACGACCATGGATATTAGGCTAAGTAGCAGGTTTGTAATTGTGCGTGCATTTCGCACGTGGCTAGTCAAACGCCAAAGTTTTCATTGAGACAATGCTGAAATATCAATCAATGGGCGAGTCAGTGCCACATTTTAATTTGTGCTGAAATCAAAACTAAATAAAAGTTATCTTGCAAATTCTGCAGGTTATGGTGTAAAATAGGCTTGTTGAAGTGCTGTCTTTTTTTATTGATTAACGTTAATGACGTCTTTGGTGTGCTTATCAATGCACAAGCACCTTTTACAATGCCTGAAGTTTCAAATACGATAGGTATTTTAACATTATAAAAAAAAAAAAAGCATTTGATTAATAAAATATTGAATCAGTCTAACTCAAATGAAGGGGATGATAACGCAATATTTGCGAGAAGGAGGGAATCTGATTTCATTGGTCCTCAACTCGCAGCTCAGACACTTCATTCAGGATAAAGCCTGCCCAGGAGCAGGTTCGTTCAGAGGATGCGTTGCCATAGAAATGTACCTTGCTAAAAGGTGAGCCACTTTCGTGGTACTGGCTATCCCGTTGTTGAACTCAGAGTTGACCAAAGTTACCTCGCTAACTCCTCAAACCACGTACTTCGAATAGGGTCCTGATCTGATTGGTCAAAAGACCAATTAGTGAAACAAATATCAGAATTGGTCTGCCTGTCTAAATGCATCCTTTGATGTCCACAAATGTGTAGGGTCTATTCGGGGTTGAGCTAATGTCTTCTAGTAGTGAAATTTAGCACATGATGACCGTTGATGGAAAGAAACACTAATTGAGAATAGGCGCGTATCATCATAGTTGCTTTCACTTGGGTGCAACGTTCAGATAGAAATGTAGGCTGTACTGTAGGTAAGACATGCCTCATGTAGAATAGGGAATTTCAGCTATATACAACAAATTCACCCTTCTGAACGTGACACGGGTCATTTGATTAGAGACACCTGTGAATGGGAGTTCTGAAGTCTGGTCGGTAAACATCTTCTGCCCACAAGTATCCTTACAGCTGTATAAACCCAGAATCTGCTGACAGTGACCACCTTTACATGCACACCAATGTCCCGTTATTAATCGGGATACTCAAGTATTCCGTTTTTGAGCAGATGCATATAAACATCCTATCACCGTTTACAATGACCAGAAAAAAACTTGTATCCCGGTTATGAGAAACCCAGATAAGATGCCTGGGATATGCTGATCTTAGATGGGATACTGTGGCATCCTGTTAACTGTTGTTTTTCGCGGTCTGCGCATACTCAGGTTCACATATCATGGGTGTTGTGTGATGGTTTTAATCGGAATCTCAAACCAATCACTTAAAAAAGGAGGCTCTACCTGCACAGTTAGATCCACCATAATAATTCCATAACTTATTTTGCTGATACACTCTACTGGACCTTATAACCTGCTGGTTTAGGCTACTTTCACCACTAATTTAGATATGTTTCTGTTTATAATTTCCGACATTTGGTAGGCCATTTGTTTGTCAACTATAGGTTGATACATGCAGCTTCTCTTCTGTCATAACTTCTTGAAATGGCCTAGAAAACCAAGTAAAGTAGTGCTCACAAGAATAATGTCTTACATCAATAGAATGAATGCATTCGTAATATAGTTAACGTTGGTAAAGTTGTCTGTATAGTTTAGGGACTGGGGAGAAAACCAAATAACTCCAAAACAGTGGAAAGATTGTTCCTGTGCAAAATGTCCAAATGTCATCAAGTTTGACAGGTTTTAAGAAAATGAAAAGCTGAGAATAAATTTTACAAATGTATTGAAAATTAAATACAAAATATCCGATTTACATAAGTATTCACACCCCTGAGTCAATACCTTGTAGAAGCACCTTTGGCAGCGATTACAGCTGTGAGTCTTTTCTGGGTAAGTCTCTAAGTGCTTTCCACACCTGGATTGTGCAACATTTGCCCATTATTCTTATCAAAATTATTCAAGCTCTGTCAAATTAGTTGTTGATCATTGCTAGACAGCCATTTTCATGTCTTGCCATAGATTTTCAAGCAGATTTAAGTCAAAACTGTAACTCGGACACTCAGGAACATTCACTGTCTTCTTGGTAAGCAACTCGTGTAGATTTGGCCTTGTGTTTTAGGTTATTGTCCTGCTGAAAGGTGAATTCATCTCCCAGTGTCTGGTGGAAAGCAGACTGAACAAGGTTTTCCTCTAGGATTTTGCCTGTGCTTAGCTCCATTCTGTTAATTTTTATCCTGAAAAGCTCCCCAGTCCTTAACGATTACAAGCATACCCATAACATGATACAGCCACCACTATGCTTGAAAATATGAAGAGTGGTATTCAGTAATGTGTTGTATTGGATGTGCCTCAAACATAACGCTTTGTATTCAGGACAAAAAGTTAATTGTTTGGCAAATGTTTTGATGTATTACTTTAGTGCCTTGTTGCAAACACAATGCATGTTTTGGAATAGTTTCATTCTGTACAGGCTTCCTTCTTTTCACTCTGTCAATTAGGTTAGTATTGTGGAGTAACTTAAATGTTGTTGATCCATCCTCAGTTTGCTCCTATCACAGCCATTAAACTCTATAACTGTTTTAAAGTCACCATTGGCCTCATGGTGAAATCCATCAGCGGTTTCCTTCCAAATATGTTTTTGAGGATAAGCCTAAATCAATTACGGGCACGGTTGACCACCCTCCTCCCTCCCGGCACTCATCCTTCTGGCATTTCTTCATGTTCTTCTTCAGAAAGTGTTTCAGTTCGTCCTTTTAATGGCACATGTTCAAAGTGGATGGCCCTTGATAATGTCTCTCACCGCCACTGTCCTTTACAGTCCATTATGTCTTTTCCATTTTCCTACCAGTACACCAGCAGCATGAGAGAAGTTTGGATGGGATCTCTCTCCATGCTCACTCCACGTGGACTCATGTCGCACTCCTGAGAGAAAATGCATGAGAGAAAAGGCAGTGGATAGCTTCAACTGGATGCTGTGTACAGGTTGCTGGCTCATACTCAGTTCTCACGGTAGAAGTGGTGAAGGACCGTACTGAATGCTATTTTTGCCATTGCTTCAGCCGGTTAGGGGGGGTTGAGGTTCACACTGTTCTTGGTCAGATTATCCCTCCCATGCATCTAGACACCATCTGTAGTCACCTTCACCATAACCTCGAAAGAGGACAGACCAGAACAACAGTTTAGTTTAGGGCATTTCTGATTCAGGAAATCCAGACAAATTATTTACTGTATGACAACTTATTACAACTACCAATATTCTTAATACACATTTCTAAAACAAATGTCAAAGAAAATAACAACACACAGTTGAAACCATTTTTTCTTCCAAATTGGCTTATACTCCCCTATCATCTTTATGATCTCACTGCAGAGTTATATGTCAGGGAGTTAGAGGGCTAATCCTTAGGGAGCAAATCTGGTGAGATGTATTATTGAAGCAAGACAAAAACAAAGAAAATAATAGAAAACAACAGCAATACACATATCACTCAATGTGGGGAAAACATAAATCCATTTGGAGTAACTGTGAACCATTACCAACATATATTTCTTATTTTATAGGCAGGCATGTTAACTTAATCAATTTGCTTATTTACCAAAGGGTCATTTGCATATTTACACAATCAATTTCCTTATTTACCAAAGGGCATTTGCATATTTACCAAAGGGCCCCAGGGGACTTCTAATTCCCCCTTTGGACACATGACTCACATCGTGATTCATGCGTCCCAAAAAAATGTCAACACTGCCTGTTAAATAAAAAATAAACAAATTAGAATAACAAATCAAATCTGAATTACAACTCTTGATAACTCCATAAGGAAATAATTGTATCCCATAAGGTAATATAGACTAGATACAGGTGTCCCTCATTCAGCGGCAGCGCTCTCTCTCTGTCCTTCTAGTGGTCCAAATCACATTTTTAAAAACATTTTTAGGCATTTTAGCAAACGCTCTTATCCAGAGTGACTTACAATTAGTGAGTGCATATATTTTTATTTTTATACTGGCCCCCTGTGGGAATCGAACCCACAACCCTGCCGTTGCAAGCGCCATGCTCTACCAACTGAGCTACACAGGGCCCACATATGGGACTACTGATAAATTATAAACTTCTTCTAATTATTAGTGTTTACATAGCCCATTTAAATCTCACCCAATGTCTCCAGTCTTTCTAGTGAGGGTGATCAGGCCTCACCAGGAAGTCAGAACAGAGGTCAGATCTCAGTCAGCCCTATTAAGTGAGTGCTTGTTTTCCTGTACCTCAGACATTATTTATAGATATTTCAAACATTTCAAACATTTTGTGTATCAGCTTTACATTGTGTTTTTCAGTCCATGTATTCTAATCAAGAGAATTTACATGTGTGCACACAAGCTCTGAAAATAGAAACTTCAGAAAATGTAATTTGTGTACAGTATCCTAAAATCTAATAAATAGACCCCACACCATAAATCAGGATTAACACCACTAACAAAT